CCAGTCGAATTCGAGTCTAGGGGATGGTGCTCATCTCCATTTCCAAGATGAAGAGCCAGTGTTGTCCGATGACATTCCTTGGTCATGTGGCTGGCATGACTAAATGCTGAGGCGTGGCATGGAATATTGAGGGAAGTTAGAAATCAGTTACGGGGGGATGGGAACATTGGCCTGTTCAGCTCCTCAGATTTTATAGAATCCTGTAAGGTAGATTTAAGTATCTGTGAGAAAGAGGAGAGAATGTACAAATTGTTAATCCTCCTGCATGCAGTTTGTGGCCTCTAATCCCAAATTTCTTGATTAAGTTCCTGTCAGTAAGGAAGAGAAATAGAGCCATCTATAGACAAGGAAGGAGTTTCTGCATTCTCAGAGCACTCCGCAGGTATGCAGCAAATATGACTTTGTAAATGAAAAGAAAACTCCAAGGAACCCTGATGAGGACTGAACATGTTCTAGGAAGTGATGAGGGCAATTGAGCATCAGTTGAAGTGGGAATGGAAACACAAGAATGGGGAAATTGGCTTAATCAACCCCTCTAAGAGATTACAGTATGTTGGAAAGGGAGATTTGGGTTGGGTGAAATGGAATTTCCTAATTAACATTGGCTCCTCCAACTCCTCATGGGTCCCCATCTTGTAAGGACCTCTTATTGAACCTTGTTCTACATTCCATGTTGGAAGAACTTTAAACTGCCACAACATTTTGTTAAAAGTCATTATACAAATGGTTGGGGGGGCTGTTTAGTTTCAGACTGCAGGTTAATGACAAGAGCTTTTGCTCTGCAAAGGAAAAAAAATTCTATGTGGAAAAACAGGAATGCCTGAACGGAGGCAAGAGTGAGCCCCTTTTCCTTGTCATACTGATATTATAAGACCAGGGAGGGGGAGATCCAAGCAATTACCCTACCTAACACTTGTAGAGATGTTTCTCCAGAACAGCCTCACTGTTTTAGTGAGCGGAATGAACAAATGGTCTTTATTCACAACAGCCACAATGAGATCCAATCCCAATTCATAAAGTTCACTGGGTAAAATCCTGGTTCTAAAATGCTACTAACTTCAGCAGCATTTATCTGACCAGACCTACTGATTCAATAGCTAGAAGTTATCTTTGACTTTACTGCAAGCATCATAACACAATGCACCACATTTAGCAATTCTTTACATTAAGGCTGGCTTACAAAAATGGTTATTCCTTGTAAAGGCAAAACCCTAGTATCAAGTGAGTTTTCAAGCATTGCCCCAGAAATGCATGAAATCATTCATAGCATGCAGTGTGTCTCTTTACCAGACCCTTTTGCAGTTGTAGTCAATGATACCCCGGCTATTGATTTATGAAAACGGAAATGTGGGTAAGCATACAAGAGGGAAAGCAGTGTTGGGAAATGCTGCTCCTGTCACATCTTCTGCCACCACCTGCTAGTTATGTGATGTCAACGTTATATAGGCCATATGCATATGGTGTGCCTCATAATCAGTCTCCATAAAGTGCAGAAAACAAAGATGAGAGAAGATTAGAGATGGACATGAGCAATGGTCTTGAAACAACAGAGTATTTGATGAATACATGAAGCTGAGTTAGACCATTCGTCTGTCAAGGTCAGTATTATATACTCTGACTGGCTGTGTCTCTCCAGGAACTCAGATACAGATCTTTCACGTAGGTCTACCAGCTGACCCAATGGACGCAGAAATAAGGTGCGGCTAGGATGGAATGTTGAGAAAGGCTTGGCTGCAGACTGATTATGGCGCAAGAAATGCAAGGAAGAACCGAAAGGAAACATTCTTGGACAGAGGGATCTCAGGCAGCTGCCGGTCAGAGTAGGCAATCCCAGACAAGATGGACCACTCAGTTCAGTAAAACACAGCTTCCTATGTTCGTAAGTCATTTGATGAATATAAAGGAGATCATTCCAACCACATGGGGCAGCATGGTGTAAGGCATGGAGATGGAAATGGGAGAAGCAGGGAGTGGATAGCCTAGGCAACCGACGTTACAAGATAGTATAAGCCTGATCTCCTTCTACTTTACCATCTGTTTAAGCCTTGAGGTGCCACAGAAATCTCCCATCAGTATGCCATGTATTCATTAGGATAGCACCAAGATTTAGCAAGTCATCAAAGGCCCCAGTCACATGGCAAAGTTGCCATGGGAGAGGCACAGATGGTGGGCAGATTATCCGGGCGTGATCGCACCCCAACATCTGGGAAGTGGAGCACACCGGTGGCTTACCGCCGACAATGCACCTTAAAAAACTAGTACCTCCAAGGTACTAGTAAACGTTTGCCATGGGCTGCCTCCAGACACCTGTGGTGTGATTGCGCCAGCGCGCAGCATTTCCCTCCAGTCCCTTGTTTAACCCGCGGCGCCGAGGGAAGGACCCGTGGTGTGCCACCAGCGCGACTGATCACGTAATCGCGCATCAAACTGCGCCGGGGCAATTAGCCATGCCTCCCCCCCCCCGCGATATCCGGCCTGTGTGACCAGGGCCAAGATATAGCTTTCACTGCCTTACCATCAGAAAATCACTGTGAAGAATCACAATAGAATCACGCTTATTGACTGGTGCATGTTAGTTGCCCATTGCACCTTTCCTCACTTGTTTGGGAGTACAAAATATTGATCTGCCCTATCCCGTATCCATCCCAGTGGTCCCCAAACAAATGTTGCTCACCTTCACAGAATAACAACTTTTTAATACAAGGTTTCTGAAACTTTTCCTGCTCAAGAGTGTCACCATGTCAGTTCTGTTACCAATGATACAAGCTAAGTTTTGGATGACTGCAGACTTCATAGCATCAACTTCAAATACCATCTGTTATTAAATCTATTCAGAAAGTTCCTGGTTCTCCAGTTGATGGATTTAAGAAGCAGAAAGTTGTTAATGTCAAACAATTGTTATATGGTTTTTACATTTAAAACAGTACAGGGTCTCCCCACCACCACCACTTCTTTTGGGCAGTGCGTCCATCACAGCAAATGGCTACATGCATCCTTTTATTAAGAAGTTGCTGTGAAGTAGGTCAACAAGCCCTAGGCCAGTGGTCTTAGACTCCTTCTGTCTTTTGAAAGACACCTGTTCACAGTCAGCTTCCATTTTAGTTGCCTTTTCAATATGGAACCTTTTGCTTCACCCACTGCCAGGATGCTGCCCTCAGCATTGAGTTGTGTCCCGCCGATCTATTCCACTAACAGTCTCTTGCAGCCCAGAATGATGTCTCCTCACGCTTGGAGGAAGGCGCCACTATTAATGGAACAGATATGGATCCAACCCAAAGTGTGATGGAGTCTGACTATCAGTGAGGTAGAAATATTTTTTGGGGGGAATCATACCTTCCTGTACACAAAGTTTAGAATACAGTACACCTCTGTCACTCCAGCAGGGAACACAAGACGATATAAAGGGTTTGGTAGAAGAAGAAGAAGAGTTGCTTTTTATACCCCACTTTTCTCTACCCTAAGGAGTCTCAAAGCAGCTTACAATCACCTTCTTTTCCTCTCCCTGCAACCATCACCTCCTGCGGTAGGTGGGGCTGAAAGAGCTCTGAGAGAGCTGTGACTGGCCCAAGGTCACCCAGCAGGCTTCATGCGGAGGAGTGGGGAATCAAACGTGGTTCTCCAGATTAGAGTCCTCAGTCCACTACTTTTAACCACTACACCATGCCAGCTCTCAACTGAATCCGACCCACCTGTCTGTTCCGGAGAGGTAGTTGTGCTGGTCTGTAACGCTAAAATTAAACAGGAGCCCAGCAGTGCCTGAAAGACTGACAGAATCCTTTCCTACAGGTAGAATGCTGGAATAAATTCTATTAGTTTTTGAGTCTCCTGTTTTGTCCCCTTCAAGTTTTCTACTTAAGCTAGAAGGGAGAGAAAGCCAGCCGGAAACATTACTGACAAACCAGCTGCAATGCTTCTTTCCTTCCCCTTCCCTGACCTTAATCTGGGTCGGAGCAGCAGGGAGAGCAGGATTTGGGCTCCAAGCCTCCAGTTGTTGCTCCCCGAGCACAGAGTGAGCATTGCTACTCTCATTATCCTCCACTTGGGACCGCAACAACGGCCTCCCTAATCTGAAACACAAACCTTGCACATCTGTTTGGAAGGCAGTCCCATTGATTTCCAGTGAGCTTACTTCCAAGTAAGTGTGTGCTTGGAAGTCAGTCCTAGCTTTTAATGGACTGCCAATATTGTGGTTTTACTCTGAACCGTTTGCATTTTGGCACCTTCTCATCAAACTGGGCTTCCGCCACACAGCATATACAGCAAGATGATTCCACACGATCCTCCAGCGCCTTATGACAGCCATCACCCCTGTGTTATTGCTGCCATGCCCACCCAGCGAGTGCATGGAGAGAGAGAGAGAGAGAGAGAGAGAGAGAGAGAGAGAGAATGAATGCCAGTGTTGGGTAGTGGGTTAGAGTATCAGATTAGGATCTGAAAGACCCAGGTTCCGATTCCCACTGTGCCATGGAAGTTCACTGGGTGCCCCGGGGCCACACACTTAGCCCAGCCTGCCTTCCAGGCTTGTTGTTGCGAGAATAAAAAGGAAGAGATAAGGATGCTGTAAACTCCTTTGGGACCCAGCTGAGGGGAGGGGGGGGGGAACCAGGGTATTATATCTATTCATGCCCTGTGCTAAGGGCCCTGAGGATGGAGCAACTGGCTGTTACAATCGATGCCAACTTTATTACCATTTAGAGATTCCAGAGTGAAAGAACTTCCATGTTCAGAAGCAATATATCTGAGCGCACGTTAGCTGGGGTCAACAGGGGGCGGTGGAATGGGTTCCCCCCGTCTCCCCCTTTCCCAGAAGCACCTAGCTTGCTTCTGACTAGGTGGGTCTCAGTCTGATCCTGCAGTTCCCACATGCTCAGAAGACCGATGGTTACGGGTTCCCCTACAGAGATCGCCTATAAGGCAGCCTTTCAGCGGTAAGTGGGACGGTGGGGGTCCTGACTCACGGGAGAGAGACGGGGAGAGAAGTTTGGCGCCGCGCCTCCTACCTCGCCTTGCCGGTGGTAGTGCTTCAGAGTCTTGCCCCCCTGGCCCAGGATCTTGCCCTTCTTGCTGCCCCCCAGAGGCAGTCCGAGGTGGAGGGGCGCCGTCCGGTTGGTGGCCTGCGTCGGCGCTTCGCCCATGAGGGTGGCCTTGATGGAGTTCACCTTGGTGCCGTCCAGCTGGGAGCTCTCCGCCACCAGGAGCGCGGCCAGGAAGAGGAGCGGGCGGGTGGCGAAGGGAAGCCAGGAGCAGCTCCGCATGGTCATCGCCCCTCTCCCCCCAAGCCGAAGGGCTGCGGCGTCTGGGCAGGGGAGAGCGGCGCTCCCCACGGCTGGCCTCGGAGAGGGGAAAGCCGGGCAGGGCGGCGAGTCGAAGCCTCCTCCAGGATGGCGCGCGGGGAGCCGCTCGGGCACAGGGCGCTTGGCCGCGGAGCCGGTCCCCGGAGGAAGGGAGACGGCCGCGCCCGCGGCTCTGTCCGGGAAGCGCCTTGCCGGAGCCCGGGAGGGAGCCTCCCCACCCGCGGAGCTCTCCCGGGTCCCGGCCTCCTCCGCGCTCTCCTGCGGCCAGAGGGGCACCGGCGAACCGGGCTCCCCGCCGCGCAACAGCTGGTGTGGCGAGCTCCGCCGCTCGCCCTTTCTTTCTTTCTTTCTTTCTTTCTCTTCCCGCGGTCACCTTTTCCTGCCCCCTTCAGTTAGCTGGCCGGGGACATCCCGACGGCAGGTAAGTCCCAGCCCCAGGCGGGCGAGTCAGCAGCAGCACCCCCTCCGCCTCTCCGCCCGCCAGTCGCCGGTCCGCGGCAGCCTCGCTCGACTCCGCTCTCCTCCGGCCCCCTTCGCTTTTATAGCTTCCCCCGGTGGTGTTCGCTTGCCTCCGCCCCCCAAAGCTGCGGAGCGACAGGGAGGGAAGCTGACTCATTCCCTCGCCCACTCCCGACGGCTCCTCCCAGCTCCCACCCGACGGCCTCTCCAGCTGGGAGACAAGTGGCGGGAGCCCCGGCGGCATCCGCTCCGGAGCCGGGTTCCGTCCTGGGAAAGGGGGATTCTGAGCATGCCCAGAGTGCTCCTCCCTCCTCTCCGGCTCCTCACGTCGGTCCGGGGGTGCCGTTAGTGTTATTAGTAACGGTGATGGTGATAAATTGTCACAGTGCTCTGCAGTTCGAGATCTAGCCACGTTCTTGGGCATTGCAGAGCCGTTGCTCTTCCAAGCAACACTACAGTCTTCTGGAGCTGAGCCCAGGAAGGTCCCGGCGTTCCTGGAGACTTCTAGGCCCCGCTCCAAGGATCCAAGGACAACCGGCAGGATGGTCGCCTTCTTCTCCCAGAGGCGCTCTCACTCTGCTCCTAGACTGGGGGCAAGAAGAGGGGGAAATGCAAGACGGTTGTAAAACCCCGTTCATCTTGAAGAGGCAAGGTCCGGCCATCCGTAAGATTTGCCTTCCTGGCCTCCCCCACCTTGGTCAAGCACTGGAGGGGCTCCCATTTTTGCCTCCTTACAGTTCCGGAGATTCCACGCTCAAGCATCCAGGATGCTGGTGATGAAATTTAGGAATTAAAGTCCAGAGACAAAGGAGGGAGAGAGGCGGGGGAAGGCCTCCCCTGGACGACTGGATTTGTACATACAAAGCTATCCCCCCCCCAAACTCACACACACTCGCTTTTCCAGCCTGCAGCCAGAGCTCTGTGTGACTCTTAAAGCTTGCCAGTATTTTGCACTAGAGATGATGGTCAATATGATGACAGTCGGTTTCGCCTGCAGGGCGCCCGGAAGCGCTCTCACCTTGCAGGCTCGCCCTCGTTCGGTTGGCGCCGCCGGGATGCGAAACACAAAACGGGCTTTGTGGCTACTGGGGGAAGGGGCTTCTTCCAGAAAGATCGTTCCAGGGGGTAGTTGGGTTGGTCTGCAGCAGAACATCCCGATTCGAGCCCAGGAGCACCTTCGGGACCAACAGGAGATTGGGGGTCAGTGTTCCGAACCTCTAAGCTGAGTTAGAGTGAGTTAAGCTCACCGTTTTTTAGCCTCCGGCTCACACATTTTTGTCTTAGCTCAGGAAGGATGGCTCCAGAGCAAACTAATTGATGCAGCAGCCAAATCGCTGGCTCACAGCTTTAATGCCAGTAGCTCACAAAGTAGAATTCTTGCTCACAAGACTCTACAGCTTGGGGGGAGCATTGTTCGGGGTATGAGCGATGGAGAGCGCCTCTCCGAAGTCGAGGTGCTACTGAGCTGGAATCTAACCGGGCTTCCTCCGGAGCAAAGCTTGAGTCCCGGGGCACCTCCAAGACCAGCACAATCTTATTCGAGGTAGAAGCTTTCGTGTGCGGGTCAGGCACCCTTGCGCACGAAAGCTCAGACCTTGAATAAACCTTTGTCGGTCTGAAAGGGGCCCCTGGACTCAAACTTGGCTCTGCCGCTTCAGACCAAGACGGTTGCCTGCCTGCCTGCCTGCCTGCCCACCTGGATCGGGCTTCTTCCCCTCGTCTAGTCTCCGCAGCCGTCCTCCTCCTCGCCGTGCCGGTGCTTCCAGTGCGCCGGTGTCGACGGGCAGAAACGGGCGTCCCGGGCAGACCGGAGAACCTGCCGGTTCTTCGCACCTGACCGGCCCTGCTGGCTCCAGCCGCTCCTCCCCACTTCGCTTGCAAGACGCAGGGAGGGACCTCGGCGGAGGGGAGCCGCTCAGCCCTACTCGGAAAGGAAGGCTTGGCTGGAGGTCAGGTCCCGCTTGAGCGTGGGTCTGCGAGAGGAGGGTCAGGTCGCGGGCGGCTGCTCAGAGGAGGCCGGCAGGCTCTTCTGCAGCGGTGTGGTGGGGGGGGGGGGGGGCGACGGCAAGGACCGGCGCTGGCAAAAGCTGCGAGGAGGTTCCACCCGGCCGCGGGTAACCTCCAGAGCAGCAGCCCCAGTAAGCGCACCTTGCTCCTTTCGTTACTGCTGTGTCTGGCTAAGACGACCACCCGTGACCTCGATCTGCAGGGATGCAGCCCGGCCCTTTACGCCTCTCTCCCTCGTTACATGAGCAACTCTCTCCCTCGTCGCCAGTGTTCCCTCTAAGCTGAGTTAGTGTGAGCTCGCTCACAGTTTTTTAGCCTCCGGCTCACACATTTTTGTCGTAGCTCAGGAAGGATGGCGCCAGAGCAAACTAATTTACACAGCAGCCAAATCGCTCGCTCACAACTTTATTGCCAGGAGCTCACAAAGTAGAATTTTTGCTCACAAGACTCCACAGCTTAGAGGGAGCATTGCTCGTCACATGAAACGGTCCCTCGTCTCATTTGCACAGTGAGAGCGGGTTGGCTGCTTCTTACAAGCCGATATGCATATGCGGGTCGCAGGTGCCTTCAGTGTCACGCGTGAATAGAGGGCTCCTGCGTCCGGTCATCGGTCCAGTCAAGTCGGTATTGTCTGACTGGCAGCAGCTCCCCAGGATCCCAGGCAGGTGGAAGCCTTTTTTTCACCCCACCCTCTTACCGGATCCTTTAAGCTGGAGGTGCCCGCAATGGAATCTGGGACTCTCGGCAGGTTAAAAAGACGGAGCTGCAGCCCTTCCCCGAAAAACCTGCCTTCCTGGGCACAACGGGACTTGTTCCCAAGCACTCATAGAAGCTAGAAGTGCCCAGCACGGTCGAGAATGAAGGAGCCAGTGGATGACTGCCACAACAGACTGACAGTGCCCATCTGCGCAGAGATCCTCCAGTCTGAGCACACTGAAATCAATAGATTTGCTGGAGCGCCTCTCCATGCGGGGCTACACCTTTTCTCTGGCATGCGGCTGACTCCGTAGAGAAAGCCATTTGTCGTCCATTAGAGGTCTCTGGACACACTGGCTTGGCGCCGCACCCCCACTACCCTCTGGTCCGGATCTTGCTTCGATGGTGCCTCGTGTCACGGGCAGTGTTACCTCTAAGCTGAGTTGGTGTGAGCTAGCTCACAGTTTTTGAGCCTCCGGCTCACACATTTTTGTCTTAGCTCAGGAAGGGTGGCTCCAGAGCAAAATAATCTATGCAGCAGCCAAATCGCTCGCTCACAACTTTCATGCCAGTCGCTCACAAAGTAGAATTTTTGCTCACAGGACTCCACAGCTTAGAGGGAACACTGGTCACGGGACAATCCGCTCTCTTGGCTGGCTGGGTCTTACATTGCTCTCCCCCTCACCCCCCCCCCCCCCCGCTCGCCTTTGCAATCATTCCATATATGTTAGGGGCGAATCCGGCCCGCAGTGCAATCCTATGCAGAGCCGCTCCAGCCTAAGCCCCCGCGAAGGAATGCACGTCTTTATGCTGGAGTCGTTTTGCGCGGCGCTGAACTGCGGATCGGAGTCTTCTTCCCCCTGGAGCGGGCTGTCTTCGTTTCCTCCCCAGCAACCCCTTGGCTGAGACCTTCCTGCTTCAGACGTTGTTCTCCTTCGATGTTGGGGAGCGGGGAGAGTCAAGGGGCGGGGAGGGGAGGGAAGCGAACGCGGCTGCCTTCGGTCGTTCTGCGCGCCGGCTGCTGTCCGCTTCCCTCGAAGGCTGCCGAGGAGGATAGGAAGAAAACAGGTCCTCCTCCGGTCAACGTCTTGTCCTCGCCTCTACAGAGTCCCTTCGGAGTCGCTCCCTCCCTGGATTCGATCGCCCGGCTTTGATGAGGGCGCAAGAACACCTCGAGGCCAGACCTCCCGGGAGGGGCGGGATCCTTCCTCCCAATTCCTCCGGCTGCAGAAGGAATGGGGGGGGGAGACAGCAGGCGACCTCCGTGGCCCCCTCGCCGAACGACAGTCCCAAGAGCCTCGAACTAGTCCGGATGAGCATCAGGCCAGGGGGAAATACTGCCGGGGGGGGGCTACTTTCATGCACCTGGGAAAGCCCCAGACCAGCTGCTCACAGAGGAGGGAGAGGCCCTGGATTGCAAAGGAGCGACCGGAGGCTCAAGGGAGGCCAAAGGTTGCCCCCAGGATCTCTCTCTGCTCTGCTGCCAGTAGGGTGACTCAGCCCTAGAGAATCTGTTTTGTAGGCAGAAGGCCCCGGCTAGCCTTCAGCCCGCACCCAACATCTGCATTCAAAAAGATCAGGCTGTAAGGAATGGGAAAGACCTTCACCAGAGACACTCTGGAGAGCAGCCTCCAGTTAGACCAGACAATCGCGATGGGGACAGCACAGCAGCCTCAGGGAGGACAAGGTGGCTTTATGAGCCCATTGGCTTGGATAAAAGATTCCTATTCATCCCAATGGAACTTCTGAGGAGGAGTATTATTCCAGTCCAGCATATTAACTGGTTTCATTTTTTCATCTCAAATTTCCCCTCACTTGTGGGTTCCCAAGAGGTCAGAGGAATAAGAACATGACCATTAAAAGTCAATAAAAAGGTGGGGGGGAAGAATTTTCCACTAATCTGGATCAAAGCCCCTGGAAGAGGACCTGCGTTCTTCCTGGGATGGCTTCACTGAGGAAAGGAGGAGGAGCCAATGTGGTCTAGTGGTCAGGCTAGGATCTGGGAGAGCCCAGGTTCCAAGCCCTGCTGTGCCATGGAAGCTTGCCAGATGGCCTTGGGCCAGTTACACACTCTCAGCCTAACCTAACTCAGAAGAAGAGAAGAAGAGCCCTGCTGGGTCAGACCGGTGGTCCATCTACTTCAGCATCCTGTCGCACAGGGTGGCCAACCAGTTCCTCAGGAGGGCCAGCAACAGGGCAAAGATGTTGCCCAGATATTGCCTCCTGCCTCTGGAATTAAGCGTTTTAGTACCTCTGAATGTGGAGGTTCCCCTCAGTCACCATGGCTAGTAGCCACTGATAGACATATCCTCCATGAATCTA